GACCTAAGTCAAGCCTTTTAGGGGCCTGATGACGGGTCAGCCCCATTTATAAGTTGACTGCAATTTTATGGTTAGACTTGCAACAATCCAGAGGACAACAAGAAAAAGAAACTACAAACAATGCAGGCACCGGCTGATTTCTGAGCAGCAAGCCAGGAGGGTACGTGATCCCATTAAAGCAGCAGCAACCTTCAACGTACTCCAAGCCCTTTTCTGTAACAGGGCCCGCTCCCCTAACCCCAACACCCGTTTACCAATATGAACCAGGCAACATAGCTAAGAGATTTAAGGTCAAGCAGCACCACGAGAGCGCCCAGCCCGAGGCCCGGTCCATCAAACAGAGAATTTAACCCGCTTACCTACCACTGACCCGCTCACTTGCACCTGCCTGAAATGCATCTTCCAGTCCGGAGACATCGAAAAGCGGACGCTCTGCCCCTCGCCCCTCGAGTGTTTGTTCCAATGGTTCAAACACTGCCTGTGATTTCTAATCCAGATTGCCTGGCATCAGCTTCCAGCCATGGGGTCCTCTTTTCCCTTTCACCACCATCTTAACGTGCCCTTTTGCACCCAGAAATTCTCCCCATGACGGTATTTATACTTGTGACCAAGTTACCTCTCGGTCTTTTTTTCCTCCATAACAAACAGAAGAAGCTCCCCGAGGGTCTTGCTGAAGCTGGTCTCCAGATCTCAATCCATTTTTGTGGCTTGTCTCTGTCCCCTCTCCAACTTTTCAACCGCCGTGCGAAAGTGCACGTGCCAGGCCGGGTGCAGCACCCCAGGAACGGCCCCACAACCACCACGTACAGCGGTAAAGCCACCTCGCTGCCCCGACTCCGTTTCTACATCCAAGGAGAGCGCAGGAGCTCGTGTTGAGCAACCTGCCCACTACGACCCCCAAATCTTTTCCCGTCCCTGCCGTCCCAGGGGATTCTCCGTGTCTGTAGGATGCATACCTTGGCATTCGGCCGTATCAAAGCATGTTGCCTGAGCGGGCCCGGGCTGCCCGGCAGTCCAGACTCCGTCCCTGTCTTCGCTATGATTTCCCACCCCGCCAGTCGGCGCGCCAGCCAGACACGACCAGCGAGGGGCCACCTTTACCTCCAGGGCCGTGCTGGGCTGCGTGGCCATTCCTGCAGAGCCTCCCTGGAAATGCCTCGGTTCACATACAGCGCCCTCCTGACCGCTGCTCTCCGAGAGCCGTCTGCCAGCCTGGTCTGGCTCCATTTAACAGGTGCTTTCCTAAGGCTGCACAGAGTGCTTTTTCAATCAGAAAGTTGGGGGACAGAAACTCCTTGCAGGTGTGAAGACATCCAGGAATCCCCGTCAGGTCAGAGATTTCCCCAAGCCAGCTCCAGACTAGACGGGCTGCATCAGACAGCGGGATCGCCCGACGGGGCAGGCCAGCACCCTCCCTGGCTGTGGCCAGAAGCACATACTTCCGCTGGACGCCGAACAGAGGTTTTCGTTCCAGCTATCTACAGCAAGCCCAGATCCCTCTCTTGGGTTGACACCGCTAAATCCAGACCCTTGCAGGCTGCGAAGCAGCTCCAGCCCTTGCTCCGGTGCACAGTGCTTTGCATCCAGCCACGAGGTTTCTACAACCCGCTTTGTGCCGCCACCCAAGCTAAGCAACCTGCAGAAGCTGCCACCGTAACAGACACAAGCAACAGCGCGGGGCCCAGCACTGACCACGGCAGCCCGGCAGTTCAACATTTGCTGGGGTGGAAAAGAAAC